CCTTTGATTAAAATTTCCATGAACGGTAACACATATGATAATAATATCCGCGAGACGATTTAGATAGCAAATGGCTGTCTATTTCTTCAATTTATTAAAGAAAATAATACATTTTTTTATGTTTTGATAGCTTAACAAAATTCTCCCTTTAATTCACTTAATCAACATAAGACAAAATATCACGATCTTCGAGATATATATTTTGACACTTAACAGAATACTAAAATACTTGAAGTCTATAGTCTCAAGATTGCAAGAAAAAGTAGATTCTAATAAATGGAATCTATACAATTCCAATTCAATATTCCTTATACAATATAAAAAAATTAAGTATGGATTCCATATAGATAACAAAGCTTTATAATTAAAGAAAATCTCGTTGTGAATACATTTTTATTGACACCAAAAATCTGCGGAGTCAAAAGTTGAACAACAAAAAAATTCAAATAGTTTAGGTACATACGTTTATGAAAAAGTTCCCAACTCTGGTATAAACAATCAACGCAATCTATATAAATAAATTCTCAACTATACTAAAATAATTAAATCAGAGTTTGAAAATGTTCTCATTACAAAGCCCGCAGGTTTATCTTAATTGAGGTTTTCATTTCTTTTTTAACTCTTGTGGTTCATTTATTTTATTTGTTCATTTTATATGTTTTTAGTTTTATTCAATTTTTTTTTTCAAATTTTTATTTTATTAAATGTGAAATAAATTAACATTTACAATATGTATATATATATATCTATTAAAGCTGCTCTTTAATTCAGAGTGGTTGCAGCTAATTGATGGGCCGACAAAATTTTATTATCCTAATTTATAATACGCTTTATATATATACATTCTGTAATTTTTTAATTATGAAATTCCCATCAATAATTTAATACACTTTTAAAAATATTTATTAAATGTGATATATATTTATACTTTTTAACTTGTTTAATTTATAGATTTTTTTTCAGCACTTCTAAAACTGCTACATTATTTCGGTATTATGGCTGCTCAGCGTTTTTATTGTTCACTCAACCGTATGATGATGGAGCGTTTTGATATTGATTGTCAAGCCATCTTTTTGTCCCAGAAATGGGTTTATTTTTTTAAAAATTTGTGCATAACACATTCAATTCTCTATTTTCTATTTTCAAATTTACCAAAACTTGTGGATGTTCCATAGCGGGTGTGGATGTCAGCATAAATGGATCTCCGGCATCGGGGTATTAACTCGACTTGAGCTTTTAAATATATCTGGTTTATAATTAAAGTATTCCAAAAACATTTTATAACTTATTTAGTGCAGTAATATACACTGAGTTATCAAACACATATCATATGAACTTAAGTTCAGTAACTAATTATTAAAATACATTAAATATGAAGCATATACTCTCAAGAGTGTTTTAAGAAAGAGACTGTTAAAATTATTATTTGCTAAACCCATTTTCAATCAGATTTTAAAATTTAAATAAATTAAAATTATACTGAGTGTATTTAATATATATACTTTTTTACATAGTTTTCTTCAAAAACTTCTCACAATGCTTCATAAAAATTCTCTTTGTGCTTGGATATCATATCAGATCATCATATCACAAATATCCAACTAAATTGGCTAATTTCTAATTCAGACAGTTAAAAGACAACACTATTTGCACTTTTTTATGACAACATTAGTACAAACTAGTAATTATAGGCCCTAGCTTAAATTAAACAGCTTAATGACCTTTACAATAATCTTAAAATAATTAAATTCATAAAAAGGATTAAGTCTTCACAAAACGAGTAAAAATTTGTTGAAATTCATTGAAAGTTTAAAGAAAGCTAATCTCTGAATTTTAAGCTATAAATAAAATAAATAATGAACAAATTTAGCGGCTTCAGAATATTAAAATTATAATTGGTTTAATTATTGTAGAAAACAACGCAACAAATGCTTTTAACAGCACAAATTGAAGTTATTTTTAGGAAATTAAACGGAAGCTGCGACTGTAGCGCAGTTAACAGAATTTCACTCCTACTTAAAAAATTGTATTTTATTCTGAATTTAAAATTTAAATAAATTAAAATTATACTGAGTGTATTTAATATATATACTTCTTTACATGAATTTTTTTAAAACTCCTTAAAATACTTCATAAAAATTCTCTTCGTGCTTGGATTTAAAGGAAGTTAACATACAATTATTTTTTTTTTTGTTTGTGAATGTTAAATCTTTTAAAGAGATTAACAAAAAAACGATATTTTTACATTTAAAATCTCCTGTTACTTTTTGAGTAAACCTAAAGGAAACGGCATTAAAAATATTTGAAGAAAAGCAATTTTTGACGAATCTAGTGTACAAGGGTTGACACGGAGGTAGCAACAGCTGCGTTAAATTGAGTTGGATAGCGACAGCTCGTTAAAGCCCTTAGTCACATAACAAGAAAAAGTGGAATTTATTTGTGTTGAAATTAAATTTTGCATTATATTTTAATTCCCTCAAAAAAACCATAAAGTATTCAATCTTATATTTAAAATTTTGCATGAAATCATATCAATAACGAAGTTGACTCGTGTAGTGCAAGCAGTCAGTGCCCTACGTAGCATTTATATAAGCAAATAAAGTTGCTATGTATGTATACGATGAAAAAACATTCTTACATATTTCACATTGTAACCAAATATAAGTATATATATGTATTAAAATATTTGTATTATGAAAGCATAAATTCATATTTATATTAAGTGCAAAGAATCAGTGCCCTATAAATAGCAAAACAAATAAGCAAAAGTCAAAGTACCAGGTAATAACACTAAATTTTTAAATTAAATAAATTAAATTTCTAAAAACAAAGCGGAAAATATTATGAAGTAATAATAAATACTTTGGTAAATTAGAAAAAACAAGTACTTTGTGTAAGCAAACAAATTTGCTAAGCGTTTTGGGATACATGTCACTATTGACAACCATAAATTCGAAATTGTGAAAGATTTTGAATAACGTCAACATAGAATTACTCTTGCCAACATTTCTTAGTTCGAGCAAAGTGGACAATTGAAAAATATAGCCCTCTCTCTACAAACAAAAATCACAGTGTACAAGTATGTCCTTCTATATGGTGTAGAAAGTGGGACAATAACAAATAGTGACTAGAAAGGTGTTAGAAGCATTAAAAAAGAAGTTTTGAAATTCTATGGTTTCTTATTCCTTGGCATTGAAAAAAGTGTTACGGCTAAAATGGTGTTTGATTCGGTACCCGTGTTTCAAAGCGCGGTAGAGGACGTTCCGGTAGAATGCCGTAGTGACGAGAGACATAAAAGTAACCGGTACTAATAATTGTCGACAACAAGCTACTGATAGGGCTAGTTTAAGAAAGCTACTGAACACGACTAAGGATGACTCACGTCTACAATGGCCAATTAAACAAATAAAGGAAAAAATTATACCTTATGTCTATCCCTCGTAATGAACATTTGCCTATCTAAAGATATTTTAAAAAAATATAATATATATAACAGTGATTACTGGTTCATCAGTAGTAAAAAATCATTGAAGAATATTTGTCACATGACATAACGTTCAAGAATTTATTTCTCCATTTATAATTTAATTTTGTATATGTAAAAGATATTCATTTATGTTTTAAATATTATTTATTATCTATTTAATTCAGAATGCTTGACTATCAACTGATAGTTTTGAAAAACAATCGTCTACTATTTATAGTCAAGTCTTCCCCTAGTTTGTATCAATGATATGTTCGCTACATATAGAACATGTGCTCTTGATCTGTAGGACAATCATTGTCTACACTTGACCATTTAAATGCTTTTATCCCTTTACCTGTTTGAAGAAAACCAATCTCTCAGTAGATGAAATTACATGAAAAATAATTTTCCAAAATTAAGTCAATAAATTAATTAAATTGTTTGACAGTATCTATATAATAGCATAATACTATACAAACAGTAACATAGTATTTAAAATAAATAATATATATTGAATGATAATTAAAAAAAATTTGTTTAACATATTGTATTTTTAAAAAAGATGAAGTAAATAAATATTTTGAAATGAAACTACAGATATGAAGTCGAATTCCAAAGAAAAGTCAACTTATTAATTTATTGTTAATTAAATATTTTACTCAAATAAGATACTACAATTAAAGTACATATTTCAAAGAACTATGAATTGCTGTACATTCTAAGAAAACAAAGCAGAGTTGATTATTAAATCAAAACTCGTGAAAATATTTAAATGTGGAATGTGCGCAATGTACACATATATCTTCTCTTAATTTCCAACTATAATTTATGAGTTTTTATTTTATATTTTCAACTATAATTTCTAAAATTTATTAAACCATTAAGACTTTGAGCGGTAATTAATTTACTGAGAACTATAGTTTGTCCTCTGACTGCCAACTCCATAAATAGAAAATAGTTAAAGAAATTTTGGCACTCATAAATAAAAGTTTTTATTAAAAACAAAATGAAGAAAATAAAATAAACGAGTTAATTAAGTAAATATTATGAATAATAAAATAGTTTATTTATATATAGATATTTATATAGATATAGATATATAAAAACTGAGCTTCTGAATACCTATTCTTTATCAGACTACATAGAAATTGTTAATATAAAATGAAAATTCAAAGAACTATACTATAGTAAATTTTTTTTTTTTGTCATGATTAAATTATTTTATATTCCTAATTAAATTATTTTCATTCTAGGAAGCCATTTATGAAAGTCAGAATTTTTATGTGCGCAAACAAAACAAAGCAATGCTAAATTAAAGATTGTTATCAACCAACGCACTAAATTAACATCCTTGTACTTGGATTAGAATAATTTTATACTTAATCACATTAACAAGCATATAAATTAAATAAACATTTTGTCTTCACAGATACATTTTCTGTTTAAGTCTATCTTTACAAGCAAGTGTCGATTTGTTTGTCTCAAATTCCGTATCTATGCATCTTTCTTACATCAATCAGCATTACTTAGCAAATTAGTCTGAAGTATGTTTCGAGTGACACAGAACAAATATCAAAAACGTACAAGTACTTACCTATTGTTGTAATCAACGTCAAGGAATAAAGAAAAGCTGAGGCATAGGTCCATTTATGCGTTGGTGGATTTATTTGCACACCAGGCTGATAAATTTTCGATTGGCGCACAGCACGTAACAATGTATCCTGTATTTAACAAATACGAATAATTGTAATTGACTTAGAATATAGAATACTATTGTACTCGCACCTATACGAGCATTGAGTATTGTGTACACAATGGCATTTATCACTTGATGAAATACCAATTCATGAAAATTTTAAACACAAATCAATTATATAAATTAGACATTTACCTGGAAATGTTGTACTTCCTGTGCTGCCAAACGCGTCCAATTTTCTTTGTATAAAATATTTAAGTCTTCTGTAATCGACCACAGGCGATCAACCGTTCTGAAAGAAAATTCAAAATGCCATGAAATTTTATATAAATACTATAAATACTATAAATACTTCAAATCGAAAATGAAAACAATAATACAAAGTTCGCTAAATAAAATGGGATTTCATTAAAATTCAACAAACGTCCCAAAACATGTAACCTGAACCCTTTTTGTTAAGTTGAACATTTTTCTTTCAACCGCTACTTTGATAAACTGAAGATTAACTGAAGTCGTTAGTGGGGAAAAGAGTTAAAAAGGGTAATTCGTAGAAGCGCTAGATTAATTCTGCCCTTAACCTTTTTCCATCAATATTTACCTTATTTTAAAAGCAAAGACGAATACTAAATTGTTACTGAATTCACCTTACAAGAGTTTGAACTAAAAAAATTTCTCTTTTGATAAATATAATTTCAAATTAAAAAATAAAAAAATTATCTTGAAGAACTAACGCATATAGCATTCTTGGGAAACTAACCTATAAGGCAAATAATAAAATCTACTTGCACGAGCAATCTAACAACCTTCAGTATTTATAACTTGCAATCTGATATATTGTACACAAGTAGCAAAACAGAAAAACAGAAAAAGTTCATTTAAATGAAAATAGCATTTGCAATTGCAGTCTTGTAATTCTGCTTAGTACCAAATATTATTATTTTTATTTTTCTGTTTTTTATATTGTATCTGCACACTCTCGACAAATTGCACAAGTATGCAAATTTACAATTTAAATACAAACAACGCCAACAAGAGGAGCAAATAAGCTAAAATAGTGACATACCAGGGTTTTGCTCTGACAGAGGGATTTCTACATATGATGTCTTTTGAATTGCTACCATGTTAGCAATAATGAGTAGGCGTGGCTCTGTGGGTAAATTTCCAGTGCGTATGCTAATACAAAATAAGTAGCTTATTTATACATCCCTGTACTGAAGTTAGATTGCATACTGTTTGTGCTCCATGCATCTGCAGTGACTTATGACGTATTTACAATATTAAACATCTTTAAAGTGCAAACCAATTTTACTCAAAATAACTTTCATAAATACTTAATAAGGTAATTAAAAGATTTTTAAAAATAGTTGAATTATTATTATATAAAAAAAGAAACTGTAAATATATTCATTTTAATACTTAATCAAGGTTGGATCTAAGGTCCGCTTTTATTATGAATAATGTAGTAAAACCCTGTAAGCATTTACTTTTCTATGCATTTAAAAAAACTTATGTAGAATATGAATAAATAATCATAAATAACTTAATAATTTTTTTATCTAATACCTAGAAACACCTAAAAATTAATATTTTGTAATAAAATATACCCAATGTAGTAAAACCCTGTAAGCATTTACATTAACAAATATTTTCGTAAGAATATATCTCTTGTGTCTATTACATAGAAATACCTAAAAATGAATATTTTTGTAATAAAATAGACCGAATATAGTAAAACCCTGTAAGCATTTACATTAACAAATATTTTAGTAAGAATATATATATGTGTCTGATACCTACAAATACCTAAAAATTAATATTTTTTTAATAAAAAAAAACCGAATGCTAGATTAATAGGTAAAAAAAAGAATAGATTAAAATATATTTGTTTAGTCTAATACTAGAAACACCAATAGAAATACCTAGCAATTTATATATTTGTAAAAAAATGAATCAATTTAAACATAAATATAGCTACAACTTCTCTATGCATTAAGAAAATATTTAATATAAAATATGAATAAACAATCATTAATAACTAAATAACCCTTTTTGGTTATAGTTACTTATTTTTTAATTTTAATTCTTCAATAAAATATTAAAGTTCATATTCTGTTTCTTGATATTTGTTTAAAAAATAACCATTTTTAAAAGTTAGAAGGGTTCAAATAGAAATGAAAAGACAGCAACAAAAATTTTGTTCATTTATTGAAGTTTAGCAGACTCGAAAGTATTGCCAAGTAGTCATCATCAGTGATCTTATAGTACTTGGCGATACTTCCAAGTTCTACGCCAAGTGTTCCGTGGGCATCCTTTTGTTATTCTGACTTGTGGGTTCCAGCAGAATATGGCGTGTACTGAATCGTTTGTGTCTTTGCTTAATGTGTGACCGAATCATCTATATTCCTAGTTATATACAAATCTTTATTGAAATTTAAACCCATTATAAGCTTAGATTTGAATATAGTTCTCATTCATTTTGACAGTTGAAACATAAGTTGTTGTAAACACATCTTCTGATTTATAAAATTTATTTCTGTAAAACCTAACTATTGAGCATCGTAATTCTTCACAAATGATCAGTACAAAAAAGGATTGATGTAATCGAAAAAAATTTTTTTTATTAATTCCTACAGTCTCTGCATAAGTATAAATAGTTGTGTGCTATAAATTAAAATAATTTCTTCGTTTGTTTATTATACTAAAACTGTTCCTAGCAGTTTTTTTAGTTTTTCCATTTTAGGATTATGTAGATCGAAATTAGTAATTAAGTTCTTATACAGTATGTATAGTATGTTTGTTAGCATGAATTTAAGAACCGTTCCATATATTTTGGACCTATTGTTTAAAGATTACACTAGTTTACACTTTAGTTTACTGGTTTTTTTTTCAATATGCAAATAATAAGAAATCGGACAGAATTCTAGGTATTCAATTATTGCAACAGATAAAGTGACTTTTCGGTTCATATTTTCGACCACAAAATTTTACTTTCTGCTATACATATGTCTAGAATTTTTAAACTATTAAATTGATTGGAAAATATAGTACGAAACGTCGAACTCAGAAAAATGTTTGTTAGTCGAGTGTGAAAAAAAATTTAGCCTCATATCTTGAAAACCTATTTTCAATATAATAAAAAATTTTTATGTGAATTTTAAATTTAGTGGGTCAAAATGCATAGAAGAAATATAATGATATTGAAAGTACATAAATTTGCTTTTTGTTTATGTAAACTAGTGATATTTTAAGATATAGTGTTTTTCTTAAAACATTAAATTAATTAATTTTTAATTAATTAAATTAATATTGAAAATGGAACATCATTCTTTCCACAGGATGTTTTCGATTTCCAGACACGTTTGAGTTCATATCTTTTAGTTAAAAAATATCTTGCATATAGAAGTATCACAGAATAACTTTCAAAAGTTGAAGTTAGCAAAGTAAAACAATTTTTCGTTAAAAAGAATTTAAATTAAAATTATATTCGAAGATTGATTTGAGAATAATGAAGGAGAAAGAACTTAAGTTGGCAAAAAGATGGTAGTTCTGCATGAACAATGAATGACATGTTCTTTCAGTGATTTATCAGAATTAAGCATTTATTCAGTTTTTAGGTAAAACATCCAATAAAATCTATAAATCTCTGTGTAAGTCTGCACTAAAGATATAGTAATATTTTTTAATATTATGAATGCAAATTAATGATGTTATAAATGCAATGATAAACTAAATTGAGTTTTAATCTAATAAATACATAGATAAATATTTAATAATGTTAAATAGTGATTTCTTTTTCATTAACTAAATTAAGTTCTAATATAATAAATAACTACATAGATAAATTGAACTTAATGATGTTATAAATGCAATGTTGAAAAATGATTCTCTTTGGTTAACTAAATTGAAAATGTAATATAATTAATAACTATAAAGATAAATAGATCTAAATGATATTATTAATGCAATGTTGAAATATGATTCTCTTTGGTTATCTAAATTGAATTTAAATATAATTAATAAATATTGTACGTAGATAAATAGAAATAAGCTTATCATGTTAAAATGGTGCACATTTTGGAATTAAAAAAGTTTTTAAGAAAATCTTCTTTAAGATAGATATAAATTTATCTTCTTTCCCAGATTGTTGAGCTTGTCCAAAAAACTGTTAACAAAGAGATTTGCTACAAAGTTAAGGATATTCATAGTTATGCAACACTGATTGCGCAAATTTTATTTCATTATAAATTTTTTTTATTATACACAATTTTCATCACAAAAATGCTACATATAAATTTATATGGGTGATGGTGAGGGTGACGGTGACGGTGAGGGTAAGCAAGGAAAAGTTCTGAACAAGGATTTTGTATAAATTCTTCTAAATATTTTCAAGCTATTTTTATTATATTGTATTAAATGCTTTGTTATTTTTATTGTCTTTATATATACTTTTATGTACTATGGACTTTATGTTACTATTTGAAAATAAGTTTTTTTTAAAAAAAAAAACATTTGTGTGTACATTTATATTATTTTCATTTTCATTATTTTCATTATTTTAAATTTAATCTTATAAGTTGTGGAAAATATAAAAATAAAAACTGTATTCGACTTTGCTCCATTAAACAGTTGTAAATTAGTTTACTTGAGTTATTTATAAATAACAATGGCATAGACATTCGCTCTTTTGATGCCAGAGTTTGGCATTTACTGAATTTATCAACAAATATGAAATTTTCAGTGAATTCACTTGAATTGTAAGGATACAAACAATAGTCAAGATACAACTACCAGTAGCAGTGATAGCACGACTACCAGTACCAGTACCAGCAATAGCAACAGCTCCAGCAGCAGTAACAAGAGCAATGCCAACATCAATGGCATATGACAGAGTACCTATTTGAACTCATACCTCCTGTAGAGGAAACATGTGCTCGGTGCTTTGTTATTCAATGGAGACACTTTAATCATACGAATCAGTTGTTTGCGTGCTGCGTTTGTGGTTGATTATTTTATGAATGATGCAACCCAGTTCAGGGAATCGTACTTTGGCCAAAGTAACTCATTGCGAGTAGCTTTGCGTATTCTGAAGAGCAATGTCAGTAAAGACAGAAACGACAGAAGCGACAAAAGTGGCGTTGTTGTGTAGTAAATTATGTAGAAAAGAAAATGCTTTGGTGCCTGTTTTATTGAAATTAATTTACGTAATTATCTAATTTGGGATTTTGGCATTATTTGTGGCTGTTACAATAACGTGATTAGAACAATTAAACACTTCTAATTTTGCAGAGACTGCTCTTGTGACTGTTATTTGCACTGAGTTAGACACTTGCTATTGTAAAGTGTGAAACGCGTACTACAGTGCGTATGATTAACATTTATTATGTTGGGTTGGGTGTTAAGAGTAAATAAATATAATTACTTACTTACGCAGACAACTATTAAATGCAAATTTTTAGGTAAAAGTACTCAAATCATTTATATTTTACGCTTCTTGCTTTTCAACTATAATTATTTATAAAGATTATTTTATGCACCAAATAAAGAACTGAAATTTTATTGTTGTAAATGAACACTTTATTATAGTTTCTGCGCTTTGGTAAACCGCGAAAGTACATTTTCCATTATTTGCATTCTTTCCGCCGTATTTTTAAAGCTTTTAACCTAAATTTTTAACCTTTGTTTTATAAAGTAAAACATTTTCCGTTTTTGCAACATACAATTTTAACTTAATCAAACGAAAAATAAATAAAGCTGCAGCTCTACGTGATTCAAATAATTATGCAACTTTTTTGCCCTTCTAGCTCAAAGGTGCAAAATTAAACCAAAAAAAAAATACAAAAAAAAAAGAAAAAGACTTTCACTAATAAAATGAAATGAAATAAAATAAAAAATCTCAACCTAAATTTTTTCACTCAAGTACTTACCTCGATCTTATTTCAGCGTTGGCCAATTCCGTGCGCGGATATGGTTTTGAGGCAGCTACGGCCGTCTCCAATGAGCTTGTGTCTTCCAGCTCACCCTCAAGTGTAACGAATATAATGGAACCCATGGCCGTATAAAGCAGCACCAACAATAAAACACCTGCAATGTGATTTTCAAACCAGATATAAGTTGTAAGTTGCACATTTTTAATTCATTTTTTTCCCACTATTTAATTTTGTATTTAAGACTTACCTGTCGCAGATATGCAATGTGATTTGGGTGCCTTTTGGCAACCGCAAAGACCACCTGAGTGGTGGTCACGTTGCTTTTCATTCTTACTAGGCGTAGGGAAACACATTGAAGCGCCACCGCTGCCACTGCTGCTTGCTGTACTCGATTGGGGGCCAATGAATGCTGATAGCGGCAAAGGTGGTTTCTTGTTCATAATAATGTGCTGGTCAACCCGAGTTTAGTAGTTGAATGCACGATTGTATCAATGATGTGGCTCCGTACTTGTCCTCCTTTGTTTGATGTGCACACAAGTGGCGATAATGTGATTTATGGGCTAATTCGAAAAAAAGCAATTACGAAGTATTGGTGTTTCTTTCTATATATTTTTATACAATATTAAATTTTATGTATTAAAAGCCAAAATATCAAATTTGCATTCGCTCAGTAGAACCCGACGAGGAGTAACTTTAATATAGCCATTAAAGGGTTATATTTTCGATTTTTTGTTATAGTAGGACTTTTAAGCTGATTAAAGTCTTATGAAATGCATTGAGTGTATTTTTTCAATATATTTACTTTTCAGCGATTTACTGTTTAAATAAATACAAATCGTCGTATACTGCGCACAAAAATTATTTACTTCGCTTGTCTGTGGAGTAAAATGTCAATAACTCAAACTGTGTGTATGTCAACGGTTTAGTGGCATCAATGAACAATGTAGACCGTGCCCATGCCCAAGCCCGAGCCCGAGCTCAAACCGTGAATGAACGCTATTCAAATTGTTTGTGCGTTCGTATGGGAAACGCGCTATTTTTTCACATCCGCTGAGCAAGATTTGCCGGAAGCTGCAATGAAAACAAATGGAAAACGTTTTTGTCTGTTAAAACAGTGCAATAAAATGTAGCGAAAACTTGAAACAATACAAACAAATGAATCTCGTGCAAAGATATAAAAGATATGTACACAATATGCAACGCCGGTTAAGTGGGAACGGGCTTATAAAACAAGGCTAAAAAAACATAATTCAGAGGAAGCACAATAAATCAATACAAACATAAGCGACTTATTACGTAAATGTAGAATAATTCATCTTTTAACTTGTGCTGTCACATTTAATTGTTAAATTCATTTAGGGACTATAAGCACTCGAATGGCTTAGATTGGAAATGTTAAAATTTATATGACAAAAAAATTTTTAAAAATTTTTCCTCATCTATTTAGCGCTAAAAGGGTTTAAAAGGAATTGTATACTGTCATAATATTTAGTACAATATTGTCAAAAAATATGGAGGAATAAATAATTAAATAATTGTTATTAGAAATGAAATTATTTCTTAATTCTCTCACTATCTCCTTAAATATGAAATAGTTAAATCAAAATTATTAATTCTATTAAGTTTAATAAACCAATATTCCCTCCAGGAACCCGCTATAAGTTTCCTAATTTCTTTAATTAGATATTTTTAAAATAGCTAAATGATCAATTGTTTAAGTAAATATTTATAATTTTTTAAAATATTTTTAACAACATATCGACTATAGTTAATAGTTGTCATCAAGGTTTATAGTCAAAATATTAGTTACAATAAAATATTTATTTTTTAAAAACGTTTCAAAGAGTAGTGAATATTAACTACCAAATTTTTTTTATTTTTAATTAATACCCAAACTAAAATTAAAATTATCTTAAGATTATTTCTTTTATTTATTTATTCGAAAATAACTTTTTGAAACTGTAAGTACCAAAGGCTAAACTTGTACCCTGCAGTCATAATTCATTAGACAATTTTCCTAAAACCGTGCTTGACTTCCATGTTTGAACTTGGATTGTTAATTTGCTGTGAAAGTTCATTAACAAATTCACTTGCTGTGTTATATAAGAACAAAATCATAAACCAAAATAATTTGATTAATTAATTATATAATAATTTATGAGCGGGCTAATTGGTCATTAAAATAAAAATAGTAAAACTATAATTTATTATTTAAATTCAAAGCAAATTATGTTTTATTAAGATATTTTCCACTATTTCGACTATCTTCAAAAGTCATTTTCAGGGAAACTAACATAATATTTTTTATTTTTATTTAAATGACCAATTAGCCCGCTTATAAATTTATTATATAATATTTTTGGTCACAAAAAAAAAATTAATTAATTCATTATAGTTATGGTATTTTTAAATTGTTTAACTTTAATTTTAATAGTGTCCTTTTCTAAAATATTCTATTCTAAAATTGTCACCGCCATCATAATTGACGTTAAAACGCATTTTATTTATTTATAAAAAATAATTTAAGTTGTATATTGTTTTAACAAAATACCTATTAGACCGTTCAAAAACTTGAAAATTAAATTTGGTCATTAAAACAATAAAAATAATGTTTTTAATATGCACTATTTAATCACAGTAAGAAAGATACTGTCTCTTTTTAATTTAATTCCACATCGAATCCTTTCAACATTTGATAAAAACTATCATTAATTTTAGTTAAAAACGTAAATATTAGCTAATATAAAAAGTATCCGCCGGTACACATATATCTGGAAACACTTATTTGATTATATTGGTTTGAAAAGTAATATTTCAGGCTACATTTTCTGTAAATACAGTTGTATAATTTTTCACTCACGGAAAAACGCATATTGATTTGAAAATGAGTAAAATATCTGAAGAAATACTACATGCGATACTTGAATACTATAAAAAAGTAAAACTGCTGAAACAAAAATATGCCGAGAAATTTATGAGATTTAGAGTGAAAATATTGTGAGTGAATGCCAAACCCAGGAGGAGTGGCGGGAGTTTTGAGAAAATATATTCATCTCGCTCTAATCGGGACAAAAGAAGCCGATATAATTTTGCAATTGGCTAATTTCCTATATTGTAATAGTAACAAACAGGTTTTAAATGATTTTAAATAATTAAAATTTGTGTAATACCCGTTATTCCTACATAACAACAAGTAAAATTTTTTTTATCGTGGTACTCATAAACATTAATTTTAATTCTGTTTGGAACACACATGACAAAATTAGAATTCTCATTATGTTTGTTTATTTTCATAATTAAGAAACCTACAAATTCATTTAGTAATTAGATATTTTTAATGTAAAATTTTTTAACTGGAATTGTCTTCCAAATTTCTTTTCCAAATGTATACTTAAATAAGGTTGAATTTAAGAAGTTTATTTTAGTAGAAATCTGAAAATTGTACCAATTTGCACACAAATAGGCATAATAAGGAATTAAGTAAGCTGTCATTAGCAATAAAAGAGGCAAAAATAGAGTAGTACAATTTTGAGAACTTGTACTTCGGGAAATTTGTGGAAAATATCCATTTTTAAATTTTAGAAAATGTGCTCAAGAAATTGAATAAATAAAAATAATTTGAACATTTCAACTTAAATATTTATTTTTCAAAAAATGTGACATAGATAATAACTCAGCCTTTCACAGCAAGATCTAACCTGGCACTAACGATATGTTATAAAAATCGATTAAGTGCTATGTCGGAAATTAAAAGAAAATATCATTGTTATTTTGTACCAAAAACTTATCAATAGAACGCTATATTAAACTCTGTATTCAAACAAAGTTATCAAATAAAGTTAACTTCCTATGAAAGTTTAATTTTGTTATGCCTTATTTTATATGACAAAGTAAGTCGACTTGCACGAGAAAATTACGTGCATATGGCATAACTTTGATCGTTACTTTAATAAAACAACTTAATATATTAATATTATATTTGACCCACCAATAATATAGTTAGGCGAGCGCTGCGATGGAACCCACAAGGTAGTCAGTGACCCGGTGCAAAAGCAAGAACATGGCAGAGAACAATTTAAAAATAATTAAAAGATGCCGAACTTACTTGTAAAAATGCCACAAGAACAACTCCTAATAGAATACGTTTTAAATCGATGGTCATTCTGGAGGGTCTATAATCCAGAATGAGTTCAGGAAAACAGAAGTGAATGAACTACATCGTAAATTATATTTAATTTATATTTAATTTGACTATACATACAAATCCAATCATAATTTTTCAGTTTAGCTTTAATTTCTCTTAATTAAATTGAAACAAATAATTTTTAATTGTTTTGATATAATTAAAATTTTTGTTTTACCGATACCTCTAAAATAACATTATATCCGTTTACTGATTTCTGGTGGTTGAATTCGAGTATACCATTCGTGAACTCTGTCGTAAGATAAAAAGTATTATCGTATAATTGGTCTATCAATTAAAACTTTGTGTTAAAAGTTTGAGCTCTTATTCGATTGCTTGTTTTTTGTATACCGATATCACCTTTAAAGGCCATAATTCCGCTTATATTCCTCCAAATCTGGTGGCAGTTCATCATCAATAGATGACCGTAATAAAAAAAAGCTATGATAAAAAACACTGTAAAAAAAGTTATTATTACCTTGTTATAATAATTGAACTAGAATAGGTTAGCCCCACTGAAAAATGAATTAGATGAAACTCATTTCTGTACAATAAGCCTAATAACCCTTTCATACTTAAAAATCAGTTCAGGAGTGTATATTACTTATGTAGGATACTGGAATTTACAACAAATAAGATATAGCTAAGCAACGCACATGCAGAAAAAATAGTGCGTAGACTATGTTAAAGTTAATTTATATTCCATGAGAGCAGAAGATCTAGAATCTCTTTAATAAATTTCAAAAATTAAATAAACTACTGTACTTTATGAAAAGGTGAAAAAAGCCACTTGAATAAGTCTGGGATGGTTAATATTTTAAATGTAGATAATGATACAGAATGGGAAAACGTTATGAAAGAAAAGCATTTAATAGCAGAACATCTTAGAAAAAAAGACCCAGGATGATACAATGGTCCCATAAGTAACTCCTTTTTTATTTAAGAACAAAAAAGTTATTAATCATGATTCTATAGCATGAACTGCACTTTAAAATTTCATTTAAAAATTTATTTAATTTTTGTAAAAGATTGAAGATTAGATAAAAGTTTTTAAAATGAATTTTTAATCCTTTAAATTTAAATTGAATATAATTATCTTTCCAATAGTGAAAAAATGAATATTAAATAAATTAATTTTATTATTTTATTTGTAACCAAAAATAGTATATATTTCTATTTAATTCTATTTTATTTATATTTAAATGACCAATGATTAATTAATTTTGAATTTAATTAATTTTATTTAAAATCAAATAAATATATAAAATAAATATGAACAAACTGATATAAGCAAACATACGTATTATATGGATAATACGTATTTTCATTAAAATTTTGTTTATTTTCTATTTAATGCCAATAATATTATAAAGTAAAATCAATGTTGAAAAAATAACGATCGGTCTTTCAA